GGTCACAATATACGGTGGTCACAGAAAATGTTATAACACCGGTTCGCAACGAGCTCCAAACAGTCAGGAAGTTGATTCATTTTCTATTTCCTTATGGTAGTTGAACTGGAAGATTCATCTTTAGTGAAATATTTCCAGACTATTGATGCATTTCTACCTGTTTGTCAAGACTGGGCCTGCTTCGCTCAGTCCATCTGCAGGGAGGAATCCATTTGGTAGCTTCTACTAGCAGATCATGTGACACGTGACGCAATGATGTAACTGCGATGTAATGACGTCACTGCGAATACTTGACGTGAAATTAAAAAAACTCGATAGATGTCCTAGGAACCAACCTGTCGATTACTCGAGTAGTCTGTTAAAGCCCTAGTTATAAGTATCATTATATATACATATGTTGTTTGTTGTTGTGGTTTCTCGGTTTTGTCTTTTTTTTTACTTTCTGCAGGTCTACAGGCAGACTTCAATGATGTTGATTTGTGTTCTCTTTATGCCTCTCTCTCTCTTCTACTCCTTTCTCCTTCTTTCCCATTTAACCATTCTCCCACTTTTCTGCCTTTGTCTTTTTTTTTGTTTTTCATCCCAGTGTCCATTACATCTGAAACAAACCCATAGCAATTCTAATAAAGTTTTATTTATAGATCAAGCGGAGCATTAAGGCCAGCCATAATGCTCTGCTTGTGAAAGTGGAGTGCTGTATGAATGTGTGTGGATGTAAATGAGGATACAGTTGTTTTGTACAGCGCTTTGAGTATCTTGATTAGATAGAAAGGTGCTATATAAGTACTGTCCATTTACCATTATTCTTTACCAACCAGAAATATCGAGGGCCTTATGTGAGATCCATTGAAGTCGTATTTTTCCTAGCTCTATGTTAAACACTTTAGCAGCTGTGGCTGAGTGGTTAGAGCGGTTGTCCTGCAATGCAAGAGTTGGGGGTTCGAATCCAACAGCAGTCAAATGTCAAAGTGTCCCTGGGCAAGACACTGAACCCCTCATAGCCTCTGATGTGTGTCTCATTGGTGTATGAATGTGATAAAGCACTGATTAGCCTCATTAGAATGATTAGTTCAATTAGCTTTGTAGAGATCTAGTAGAGCGCTGTATGAATGGGTAAATGAGGACACAGATTGTAGTATAAAGCGCTTTGAGTATCTTGAAATAAGATAGAAAGGCACTATATAAGTACAGTCCATTTACCATTTAGCAGCTCTCTGAGACAGACATTGTTAATATATCTGTTAAGCCCGGTCCCTAATAGATTTTGTTCTCCCAAAAAACCTAATTTAAAAGTGGCACTTCAAACATTTATTAACAAATCAGATGACTGATTCCCTATTACTGATGCAATCACATATTATGTATGGAGGAATTTAGCAGTTATTTTCTGAGGTTTGGGAGAATACACTCTATTAGAATTTAAGGTGACTTGAATGCAGAAACTATAGGATCTACTTAAAAATGTGTTTGAACCAGAAAGAACTTCCTAATCCTGTATTATATTATATCCAGCATTATTTTTTTTTTGTGAGAACACAATGACATCCATCCATTATTTTTACCCGCTTCTTCCATTTTGGGTCACGGGGGTCGCCGGTGCCCATGTCCAGCAATCACTGTGTGAGGGGCGGGGTACACCCTGGACGGGTCGCAAGTCCATCACAGGGACACATAGAGACAAACGAGACAAACAACCATTTATTCTCTCACTCACACCGAGGGACAATTTAAAGTTACCAATCAGCCTAACATGCATGTTTTTGGTCTGTGGGAGGAAACCTGAGTACGAGAAAACCCACGCATGCACGAAGAGAACATGCAAACTCCACCCAGAAAGGCCCCCAGACCGGGATTTGAACTGAGGACCTGCGTGCTGAAAGGCAGCAGGTCTGCCAGTTGCGCCACCGTGCTGCCCTAACATGATGACAGCTTATGAAATATTGCATCTTCGCACATAATAATCCATGGCTTAATAAAAGACATAATTGTGCAAACATCTTTTTATAGGATTAACTAAAATGGTACGAATACTCATGAAACAATTAGTAGAAAGATAAAGATGAGCAAAAATATTCACAAAAGTAGAATTCTGGTCTCCTTTACTTTGATTGGTCATGAAGTCAGAAAAGGTCCATACAAGTTCTCCAATAAGAAAGTTCTTCATTTCCTTGTCAAACACTTGGTGGTATTGCTGCATGAAGTCCCTCTGGAACTCTTCAGAGAACATCACAGGTGGATCCTGCAGAGTGAAATTAAAACTTGTTATGCTAAGTAATAGTATAAAAAACACACAGCTGATCATCGCATCACTGACACTGTATACATGTGCTTTAATGTGATGTTGGTCCCTCTTTTCTAGCATTTAAATCTTTCAATCTTTTTGGAAGACTTTTAATGAGATTTTGGAGTGTTTCTGTGGGAATTTGTGCCCATTCATTTTGCAGTGTTAATAAGGTCAGATACTGATATTTGAACAGAATGTCTGGCTCACAGTCTCTGTTCCAATTCAACATAATAGTGCTCAATGAGGTTGAAGTCAGGGCTATGTGCAAGCCAGTTATGTTCTTTTACAACCCATATAATGAGAAAGTTGGGATTTTTGTGAAAAATGTAAAAAAATAAAATAATACTATGATTTGCTAACTTTATAGCAAAGCTGTTTTTTTGCTATAGGCAAACCATGCAAATGCATAGGGCACTAGAGGGCCAAGGCTGAATTCAGCCTCATCTGATGAGAATTAATAAGACCAGTCTTTATCCTTTATATGCTTAAAATTACATGTAAGATATAAGAATAAATAAGCTGCAACGATAAGCTATGGCAAGTGTTGTTGTGGCATAAATCAAAATTGTTGAAATCCAAATCACAGTGAGTGACATCTGCTGACAGGCACAATGGAAATAATTGGCAGTTACACATCATTTCTGTATGATGGTTTTTTGTGGGACAGAAAAACTATAAAATAATCAGAATCAGAATAAGCTTTATTAGCACTGTACCGAAGTACAGCAAGATTATATTTCGTACAGTCATCCTAAAGGTGGGCAGAGTGCACGTGATGGCAGCTCCTAGGAAAGAGGCCACTTATTCTTTAGATAGAAAAGGGGGGAAGACCATGAGGAAAGGATAGTGGTATTACACAAAAAAAGATCTCTTCACATCTTATCCTTGTCAGGACACAATTTAAGACATCAAAAAACTCTACCAGCAAGCACATTTATAGACAAATTACATATGCATTTGACGGCAAGATGGTGAGATTTGACCATGAAGCACTTCCAGATAGCACCATAGTCCTGATAAGATGTTGGTGTCAGCCAGTACAGCTCTGATAAGCATGTTCACAGAAGTTCAGGGGGGTGGGGTGCAGGGGATGGATAGAGCAGAGTCTTCTTAGTTTACACACATCCCAGGAGAAATTTAATAAGTTGGCCGGCTTCAAGGCCGAACAGGGAAGTCAGATTCACATAAGCCACAGTTGTTTTTTCGTGCAGGCAGACTGTTATTTCTCGTCAGCCTTGAGTTCTGCTGGTACTTTCAATATCCAAAATGGCCAGATATGTGGGCTTTCCGCTGGTCTGTGCTTATAGCTTCCTCCAAGTTTCATCCCAACATGCTGGTGAGTTCCAAAGCTGCAAGTGGCCTACGATTCTTATAAATCGCTTCCATCTTACAGTTGAGCTCGTAAATCAGCTAAGTCTGAGAGCTCGAAGCATGAACTGATCCTTCAGATAAGGTCGGCAGCTTTGCCATGGCCTAACCTGCTGCCGCCGTATTCCTTCATAGCTGATAACATAGGAATCTGACGGTGCCAAAAAGCAGAAACCCTGCTATCATAAATCCAATCATCTTTGGCATTCTCCTGAGACAACACAAAAAGGCACAACATATCCATGATGTACCCAGCCACGAGATTCTCAGCGTGGCATGAGGGTTCTCCAGGACACTGTCAATTGTTTGAAAAAATTTTAACAATTGCGTTGAAAGTCCAGCTGACCAGATCCATGACAGTAATTTTTGATTTGGAAGATGTGTAGAAGCTCTGATATGCAGGACAGAGAGCAAAAAAAGCAGGAGGGAGGCAGGAGAGGGAAGAAAAAGCATCCGTCTTGCTCGAGAGAGAGAGTGAGGAAAATGTACAAAAAGATGTACGTATAAGGTTAAGGTTTTTGTTTGTGATGTGGGGCAGACTGGGGAAAGTATAAGGCCATTTTTTTTTAGCAAGTTTGTTAGTTATTTGTCCTGTGGGA